CCCTACTTGAACCCCGCGTCGTTCGGCCTAAGTCCCCCACGCCTGCGCCCCTTCCTGACCACCGCTCCCGGGCCCCCAGCCTCCAGCGCCGCCGTCTGGAAAAAGAGCCAAGGTGAGCGTGGGGCCGGGACCGGGGCCTGGGCCTGGGTCTGGGTCTGACCCTGGGCCTGACCCGCCCCTCTCCTGCAGGTGCTGGCGGTAGCCCTCGAAGACCGCAGGGCGGCTCCGACGCGCCCTCAGGTGCGTGCAGGTGACCACCAGGGCGGGGTGGAGGGGCTTGCTTTCCCGTGGATGCTGGCAGGGCAGCAGTGCCCGCCCCCTTCCCAAGTGGCAGAATTGCCACCCCTTAAAATATAAGAGTTTTGCCTTTAAAATCACTGGCCCTTGCGCCTTCCTCTGCGCCGGCTCTCTGCGTAAATCTCGCGCCCAGCCCAAGCTGCCCTCCCCCCTGCGGTAGTTCCGGGCATGGGGATGGAGGATTCACGTGAGACCAGATTTAGTGCCCTCGAGGACAGGGACCTGGAGAAGCAGATCTGTCCGGCCCGATGCCCCCACACCCCACCCGGGCGCCCGGAGCCGAAGGGAGGCGGGAGAGGTCCGGCGCCCACGCGTGGCGAAGGGGTCCCCGGGGGGGCGCGCGGGACTGACCAGCCCGCCTGCCTGCCCGCAGCGCACGCGGCCCCGAGCCGCATCGTGTGGGAGCACACGCGCGGCCGCTACTCGTGCATGCAGTGCGCCTTCTCCACGGCCTCACGGCCCGCCATGACACTGCACCTGCAGGACCACCGCCCCGGCGCCCCGGCGGGTAAGGCCGAGGGACGCGCGCGCGGAGAGGGCGGGGAGCCGGAGCGCAGGGACGGGTCCGACGCTCCGGGGCCCCCTGCTCTGCCCCACCCGGACCCGACCCCGACCCCGCTCGCCCCTGCGGTGTCGCAGCTGACAGCCGAGGGGGAGCTGCCGGTTTTCTCGCTGCTTTGAACTGCACCGCCCCCTGGCGTTGGGACGGGTGGGGCGGAGAGTTTTGTAATCTGGGAGGACAATAAAGGAGGCGCGATGAGCCAGCCTTGCTGTGTCTGGGTCCCTTGCCCTCCGATGCGCAGTGGCCTGGCGGGCCTGAGGCGCCCACACCGGGGAGATGCACCTCCAGGTGGCCCTGTGCACCCGGTCACCTCAATACTGGGGCCTCTAATGCCCCCCTATGCACAACAGTAGGGCCCTGGGGTGTGGCTGGGGCGTGGCTCAGCTGAACACCGGTCCTGGGGTCCTGGGAAATGTCGGGGCTGGCCTGGCTGGAGCCACAAGGGGAGAAGAAGCCTCGAGAGGGGCGATTGGGGTCACATTTTTAAAATCCAGGGGCAAGCTGCTGTCCCTGGCTGGCTGAACCCCTTGGGTATGGAGGTTCCAGGCACTGAGACGCCCGTCAGAGTTTTACCTACTGGCTCGTTTTAGCCTCTGTAGCCCCCGCGGTCCCTCCGGGGTACCCCGTCGGCCTACCCCACGTGTGCACGTCCCCTCTGCACCCTGCCTGCCCTTGGCCTCCCCACCCCTCCGGGGCCACACTCACTTTCCCTTCTCATCTTCCTCTTCCTCCTCCTCTGCATCCTGAGGGACAGGCACCAGCTTTTCTTGAGAGGGGGAGGAGGGAGACCCTGGGCCCGGGGCTTGCGCTCTGCCTGCCCTGCCTGCCGGGCCCTGGGGGCTCCACCAGCGCTCAGAGTGGCTTCACTGGCACCCTGTCTCACTGCCTCTCCTCGCACGCCCAGCCTTTGTCCCTGGGAGACCTTACCGTCCCCAAGTCCTCTTCTGGGCTCCTCTAGCCCCGGCCAAGCTGGCATCCCTGCCTGCCAATCCAGGATGGCTCAAAGCGATGAGTTCTCGACAGGCCGCGGCTCTGCCAGCAGAGGGCGCCCGAGGGTGCCTGCGAGCGCGCTTGTCCCGCGCAGCAGTTTGTCACCCGTGGGTACCAGCTCAGTAACCCCAGCCACGGCTGGGGGAGGAGACCTGGAGCCCTGCTCCTTGGCGCAGCTCGCTCGACAGCCCCGCATTCACTTTTGACTTCTGGTTCTCTTTTGGTTAGATCCACCTGGTCTCAGGCCGGAGAGGCGGGAAAGATGTCACTCACTGACAGGAAGGGAAGAGGGTGGGCCAGCTCGCTCAAAGCGCCGGATAAGGCAGACGCCCACGCCCAGTGGGCCATCCAGGAGTCTGGGGAGCCCCCAGCTGTGGTTCATCCTTAGGGCCTACTGTGCTCTTGGTCAACACATCACTGTTCTTTTACACACACGCCCTATTACTATGGTCCTGGAAACGCAGAAAGGACCCAGACCTGGTGGTCATCCCTGATCCCTTACCCTCAGATCTCTCATTTTAAGGAATACTCTTGCCTGGGACAGTGGCACACACCTGTCATCCCAGCACTCAGGAGGCTGAGGCAGGAAGATCGCCATGAGTTTGAGGCCTGCCTGGGCTCCATAGTGTTTAAGACCAGCCTGGACTACATAGTGACTCCCTGTCTCGAAATTAAACTCGTGAAGGGCCAGGTTATTAGCTCAGGGGCATCTCAACTGCCCTGCAAGCATGAGGTCCCGAGTTCAGTCCTCCGTACCAAAAAACGAAAAAACAAAACTCCCCTTACCCACATCCCAGAACGACTGAAACAGAATCTGTCTGTAAACTACTCAGGTGACTGCCATGTGTGGCCAAAGAGAATCAGGGCTTTGCATTCTCCTGGGTATTTCTTCCTTCACCTGCTGCGGCCAAGGCCACTGATTTCCTGTGGACAGAGCTCACTGTCTCACAGCCTTCCTCCCCCTGTACCGTCTCCTCTTTCCTCCTGCCCTGGCTTCAGCTTGCTCCTCCAGCCACAGAGAACTTGGGGTGTTCTCAGGGGCTAGGTCTCCGATATCCCCAAATCTGCAGTCCCCGCTGAGCCCTCTACCCTGGCTGGTCCTAGCAGGTAGACATCTGTCCCCTCAACAGGGAAGTCCTGCTGAGAGCCACAGGTTTTGAAACAAGGTGGATGGGGCAACCCGGGCAGGCAGATGTGGCCTCGCTGTCCCACCAGCCCCCACACCCATCCTGGTCTCCCCGCTGATCGCTCCCCGTCCTGTGGCTGCCTCTCTGGTGGCCGGTCACCAGGCCTGGCACTCAAGTCTGGAGACCAGGATCCGAGAGGGCAGAGGGTAAAGGGGACAAGGGAATCAAGAAGCCAGCGACAACGAAAGACTGAGGCCCAGAGCCTCAAGGGGACAGGACCTCAAGGGGGAAAGAAGTGGCCCGAAGGGGACAGGCCAGGGCCGTCTCCACCTCCGCCTCCTCTCCCTCCTCCTCTGCCCTCCCCACCCTGACGGCAGCCCTGACCTTGAGTGGAGAAGCCACAGTTACTTCCTGAAGGCAGCACACGCTGTGAGGGGCCCACTCGGCCCGGGCTCATCCTACCTGCAGCTATGGTGAGTAGAGGGCCCTCAAGGGTGGGCACAGGGGGCTAGGAAAGCACGGGGAGACGGGATGGCCCATGTGGACGTGTTGGGGTGGGAGTGGGAAGCGCAGGTGGGGCTGCCCGAGGTGATGCCCTCTCCCCAGGGCGGCAGGGACAGCAACCTGACCTGGGAAGAGGCAGCTGGCGGGGAGCAGAGGCTTCCTGTGGGTGACAAGTGGGTCATGCACTGCCGACCGCCCCACTGGGCACCCAAGTGGTGACCTCCTAACCCTGACTTCCACCTAGAGGCATATCCGGCACCAGGTGGTGTCACCAGCTTGCAGGGCCCTCCTGATCCCCCCAGGGTGGGCAGGGAAGTGGCACACAGACCACACAGTGGCCCCAGGGTCCTCCTGCCCTCCGACAGCCACTCGGAGGCGACCGGCACCTGTGACCCACGGCGCACGGCCAGCCTCGAGGGCACCTGCCTCCTGGCCCTTGGGGCTGCCGTTGACTGTGTGTCTTCTGAATGGCAGCTCAGGTGTCAGGGACCTGTGAAGCCCGGTGCCCACATCAGCTCCAGGTCTGCGCCTGGGGCTGTCAGACTGAGCATCTGCTTCTGGGTTTGGGGTTGTTCTTGAGACAGTCTCTCGCTATGTAGTTCAGGCTGGCCTTGAACTCAGCAAGTTGGCCAGGCTGGTCCCGAATTTATGACGATCCTCTTGCCTCAGCCTCCTTAGCAACAGCACCATGCCTGGCCTGTGTGTTCTTTGTATCTGTGAATACTTACTGACCTCCTACTGTGTACCGCACACTGCCAGGTCAGCAGTGAATGCGCCAAATCCTTTCCCTGCAGCAGTGGATGTGGGGGTGGGTGTGTATGTACAGAGAGAAAAAACGAACTTCAAAAACCCACCGAGTTGGGCTGTAGCTGAGCAGTAGAGCACTTGCCTGGCCTGCACAAAGCCCCGAGTTCCATCCCCGGCACCAATGTCAAAAACCAAGCCAGTTAAGATATTAAAATCCTACAAGTAAGAACTCAGACTTAAAATAGGCCGGTCTCGAAGGGCTCTCAGAGAGGAGATACTGGCTCGGAGGGCCGGAGAAGGAACAGAGCCGGACGGTGGGGGACGCATCCTGGAGAGAGGACAGGGCCAAACTGTCGCTTGATGATTACGGCCCTTGGGAGGCAGGAAGCATTAGCAGGGGCTCAGCAGGCTTCTTCCAGCTGAAGGGAGGCAAATGGACCAAGACAGGGATGGGGGACAGCAAATCAGAGAGGGGCCTGTTACCGGAATGGGGCAGGAGGGGGCGGTTCCTGCAGCTGGGGTGACAGTGGCGGAGGTAGTGAGAAGTGGTTGGATTCCGGATGTATTTTGAAATTGGAACAGAAAGGACTAGGGGGATGTGGGGCGTGGGTGACATGCAGGGGGGCCGCAGGGAGAGACCGCCCCCCAGAAGCCCAGGCCCCGCTGGAAGTGAGGGCGGACGTGGACGAGTCCCAAGGATGTGGTTTCCAGAACCTGGGGGGAAGGGGTCTCAGCCAAAAACAGAAGTGGGCCGTGAGGTCAGGGACGGCGCAGGCAGCAGCAGTCTGGGGAGGGAGGTGGCGGGTCTGTGACTGTGTGCAGAGCCTGCTGTCACTGTGTGCCCTAGGAGAACCATCAGGACTTCCGGAGCCTCCAAGCCAAGTTCCAGGCCTGTCAGGCAGAGCCCAGTGAACTCCCCAAAAAACCCTCAAAGCCAGAAGTTAAGCTTTTGAAGAAGCCCCCACAGCCTCAGTTCATCGGTCTCCCCAAGAAGCTCCCTCACCCCGAGTTCACCAATCCCCCACAAAAGCCGGCCAAACCTGAGTTCAGCGATCTCTCCAAGAAACGTCCTCAGCTCGAGTCCAGTCCATCTCCCAGGAAGCCCCCGCAGCCTGAGGCCACCGAAGCCCCTCAAAAGGCCTCACAGCCGGAGCCTGGCACACTTACCCAGAAGTCCCTGAAGCCTGAGCTCAGCACCCCTGCCAAGCCCCCCCTAGAACCCAAACCCAATGCGTTCCCCAAGAAATTATGGCAGCCTGAGGCCAGCGAGGGCCCCCCAAGGTCCTCGCAGACCGAGTTGGGTACCTTGCCCAAGAAGCCCCCGCAGCTTGAGTTCAGTGCGTTCCCCAGGAAACTCCTGCAGCTCCAGGTCGGTGGCCTCCCTGGGAAGTCCTCGCCACAGCCTGAGTCCAGTGAGGTCCCCCAGGGGCCCCCCTTGAAGCCTGGGTCCACTGAGCCCCATCCCCTCTCCCCAAAGCCTGACTTGGGCCCCTTTCCCAGGAAGACCCTGCAGCCTCAGCCTGGCACCCCCAAGAGACCCCTCCAGCCTGAGTCCAGTGAGTTCCCCCAAGTGGCCCCCTCAAAGCCCGAATCTCCAAAGCCAGGCTTCAGTGCCTTTCCCAAGAAGGCCCTGCAGCTGGAGTTTGGTGACCTCAGCAGGACGTCCTCAGAGCCAGAAGTCAGCGTGCTTCCCAAGGGGCCATGGCAGCCCGAGCTGAAGGCCCCTTCCAAAAAGCACCTGCGCCCTGAGTTGGGCGGCCTCCCCAGAACGACCTCCGAGCCCGAGTTCAGCTCGCTCCCCAGAAAGTTCTCACAGCCTGAGTGCAGGAGGCCACCCCACAAGTTCTCCCAGCCAGAGCCCCATGCGCTGCCCAAGAAGAGCCTGCAGCCTGAGTTCTGCCGGGGTCTCCCTAAGAAGAGCCCACTTCCGGGCTCGGTGTCTGAGAGCTCACTGCCCACTGCTGTGGTGGGCTCTGGCCAGCTTGGAGCTGCTGGGATGCCCCGCTGGAAGTCCGAAGACCTCAAAGGCCGCCAGCCACCCCCTCGGCGGCCCCTGCCCCCAGCCAGCAGCCTGGGGCCCCCTCCAGCCAAGCCCCGGCTTCCCCCAGGCCCCCTGGACATCCAGAGCTTTCGGAGGCTCTCGGCAGCAGCCACAGGTGGGTGTGTGGGGAGCACAGGCAATGAAGAGGGGCTGAGGTGCCAAGGCAGCGCCACCTCCCTCCTGTGTGCTGTCCCCACAGGCGTGAGGAGGACCCGCTCTTCTGCCGGGACGCACTTCCAGGCCCTCCAGGAGCGACAGTTCCCACAGTGAGTGTGGGGAGGAAGGAGCAGGCACGGGCGTGGGTGGATGGGGCCCTCATCCTGGGTGTCCCTGCAGGGACCCGGACGAGATCTACGAGATGTACGACGAAGTGGAGCCCACAGATGACTCCAGTCCCGGAACCAGGGCCAGAGGTTTGTCGCTGGCCCGTCTGGGCACCCTAAAGCCCTTGCTGCAAGGGAAATTTCCTGCCACACTCATGGCGTAAGGCCCAACGAGGCCGATCCAGACAGAGCTGGATGAGCGGTGACGGGGGAGGGCAGCCCAGAGGCTGACTGCTAGGAGAAGGCTGGGGGGGGGGCAGGAGCGAGGACAGTGGAAGAAGCCAGCGATCAAAAGTGGCCAGCGGGACTCAGCGGCGTGTGAGGCCGACAGTGGGTGAGTTCCACCTGGCCCTTGGTGCTGGAGCACCATCCAAGGGTTGGGGACCCGAGGGCAGGTTCCACCAGGACCTGTGTGCTCCAGCAGCTGAGGGGACCGCAGAGAGGCTTGGGGTGGCGTGGCAGTGGGGGAGAACCCGTCTTCCTTCTCCCCAGTCTCTGCCCCGGAGCACCCTGAGGAGGCAGCAGGCCTGCACCCAGGCTGGCTCTGGGGCTGGGACTCCAGCCAGGCCACACCCACCTTTCCATGGAGGGGCTTGTGCAGGGGAGTGAGTGCAGCCTTTAGGGGTTCCTGCTGTCCCCCACCAGCCCCAGAGGTCCTGATACAGCATTCCCAGTTCCTCCGCCTGGGCCCCTTCCGCTTCTGGACTATCCAGCCCCGGGCTGCTTGCGACAGACGCCTCCTTAGCACACAGCTTCCTGCAGGGCCCCTCCTGCTTCCCCTACAGGGAGGCTCTGCTGCCTGGGTCCGGGCCAGGGCTGTGGGGAGGGGGGCTCTCCCTAGCGCTGGCCGCTTCCTTTCTAGCCTCCCTGTGGCCTTGCTCTAAAGCCCTCCCCTGTGCAGATGGCCCCTCTTCTCCAGCTACTAGCTGCTCGAGGTCAGATCAAATACCACATGCACCGTTCCCCCACTGGCGGGGTGGGCTGGGCCTGACTCAGGCCCTTCACTCACCCTGGGTTCTGGAGGCTTCTGCTCCAAGCCAAAGCCCTGGCCAGCAGGGCTCACAGGCCACCTAACACAGCACACGGAGAGACCCCTCGACCCCTCCTCCAGGCTCATCACCAGCCAGCCCATCCTGCTCAGGGGCAGGCCTTGGTTGCCTCTAAGGAATGCTGTCTCTTGCCTCACTTTTTTGACCCAAATCTCCTAATTCCCAACCTGCGCTCAGAATGCTTAAGTGAAATGGTCTCCATAGCCTTCAAAAACGAAGGCAGGCTGCTAGGAGGAGACCCTGACAAGGGACAAGGATCAGGGAGGTGGCAGGCAGAGCAGGAAAGGGGGGACCTGGCTAGATTTGACTTGGTGCGGTGGGTGGGGTGGGGGGAGGCTCATTCCAACAAGGCCAGCAGGGGGAGCAGGTGAGCAGGGCCCCTGCCCTGACTCGGCAGCCTGTCTGCTGCCCGCAGGTGAAGTGCCATCTTCCCAGCAAGCCACCAGGAAGCCATCACAAGATCCAGAGCTCAGGTACCACAGGCCGCAGCAGGTGGGATGGGGTGGGGTGAGCTCACAGGCAACTGTGAGGGCAGACCCCGACACCCCTAAATTTCCCCAATGCCTAGGGGGGCCAGGAAGGAGAAGAGCCCCCAGCCACAGCAGGTGCCACCTACGGACCCAAAGGTGCTGAAGCAAATGAGGAAGGCGGAGAAGGCAGAGCGGGAGTTCCGGAAGAAGTTCAAGGTGAGGTGGCACCCCAACCTCAGAGGGTGGGTGTTCAGGGGGACGGTGTGAGAAAAGCCCTAAAAGCGCCCCTCCTGCCCCAGTTTGAGGGGGAGATTGTGATTCACACGAGGATGATGATCGACCCCAATGCCAAGACCCGCCGTGGGGGCGGCAAGCACCTGGGAATCCGGCGCGGAGAGATCCTGGAGGTCATCGAGTTCACAAACAGAGACGAGATGCTGTGCCGGGACCCCAAGGGCAAGTGTGAGTGGGCAGGGCCTGGAGCGTGGGGCGGGCACCCCTGGGGCGGACGACCCACTGTGCCCGCCTCTCCCCTTGCAGATGGCTATGTGCCCAGGACGGCGCTCCTTCCCCTGTGAGTGTTGGCTCTGCCCGGGGGAGGTAGGGAGGGGAGCCAGGCGCCGTGTGCTGACCCAGCTGTGCTTACTCTCTGCTAGGGAAACGGAGGTGTACGACGACGTGGACGTTGGCATCTGGGGTACGTAGACGCTCAGGGACCCCCAGGGGCTGCTCGCTGTTGTGCCTCTGGGAGAGGAATCACCACAAGCCACCCTCCCCTCCCCTCACAGATCCCCTAGAGAACCAGCCATTTCCTCGGGGACAGTGAGTGAGGAGCACAGGAGGGCCCAGCAAACCACCTGCTACCCAGGAGCCCTGAGCCCAGCCTGGCACACATGCAAGACCACATAAATCTTTTTAAAGCCAGCCCTCGTCTGTCTTTCCCTGCCGAATGACACAGCACTGTGTACCTGTGGGGTCACCCCCAGCCCAGTTCCGTGGTCTCACCCTGTAGCTATAAAAGCAAGGAAGGAGAAAAGCCAGCTAGCTGTCTGCCGTGGTGGGAAGGGCTGGGCAGCAGGGTGCACCCCGCACAACCCCGCACAGGACGGGCTGCAGACAGTCTGAGCCCCTCGGAACCTGTCCCGACTGTCCACCAAGTGGCTCTGCGAGAACTTTCCAGTCTCACAGAGCCCAGGGACCCAATGCAGCCTGAACCTCTGACGGGGCCAAAGACGCTCAGAACTCGCACTGCTCCTCCGTCTGCTGGGGAGGCCCAACCTGGAGACGATCCTGACATGTGTCCTGTGCCCTGCAGCATAAAGTCCCAAGAGGGAGACGACAGCTTCTGGGACTGCTCCACACAGCGAGTACTCTGTTCTCTGCGCTGAGACAAGCCCCCCAAAACGGGGTTTCCACTGAAGAGTTTTCCCGAGGTGCCAGAGACAAGCTGCAACTGAGGGAACCATCGCTAGCGTCACGTCAGTGAAGGAGAGGAAAGCCGAGGGGCTCTGGATTCGAAACCCTCATCAGCCGCCCCACAACACACACGCAAAAGCAAGCGCTTTCAGGAACTGGTATTTATTATCAAAGTCATATTCGATGTCAACAAGATGCCACAACTACAAAAAAAATTGCGCACATTGCAATCTCAATGCAAACAGTCAAATGGAACCCCAGTCATTAAAAAAGTAATTCAAATTACCCCAAAAAGCAACTGAATTTTTTAAACATCTTTATACATCCAGCCAACAAATTAAAATGGTTAACAAGAAAAAATACAAATTCAGAGGTCTGGTATTGATGTTTAAAAAAGGCAACTGCTTAAGCATTTCTATCAATCCGAACATCAATCTCTCGGCCACTCAGCTTCATGCCGTTCATCATCCGGCAGGCCCTCTCTGCCACTTCTGGGGACTCAAACTTAACCACTCCGCACCCCTTGGACTTCCCGTTCTCCATCTTGATGTCGGCGTACAGCACGTGGCCTGGCACAGGGAGGAAGAAGAGACCAACGCGTCAGCCAAAACCAAAGCTCAGCCTCAGCCCGGCTCCATTCAGTCCAGATCACCTGTTGGATTTTGTGACAGAGTCGAAAAGGAAGAGTGCGAATTCAGAACACCACAGCCAGAGCTGGCGACTACGCCCTCGGCCACGTTGCCGTTGCACTGTCAGCAGGACCAAAGTCTCAGTGTGCTTCTGCAACTGTTCCGGCAGCGTCAAATGCTGAGCTTTTCAAAAGCAAGAGGCACACGAAGCCAACAGTACAAGCGAATTTTAGAGGCTTCGTTTTCCATACGGCACCACCCCAAATCACAAAACCATCGACAGTGGCGCTCAGTATCAGCCAAGATCCCGGTGAGTAGGTGTCTTACACCCAACAAGCACCCAGGTATGTGTCAGACATCACGGGAGCGAGCCTAAGTTAGAGAAGGGCACACGGCCAAGCGAGAGACAAGACCGAGATGGGGCAGCTGGCTAGGGACCCACAATTCTGCAGCAAGTAACCGTCCACGGCGGGGTTGGAGATGACACCCAGGGTTCCTCACGGCGCCACCAGGAGACACGGTCCTGCCAGCAACAGCAGGTCCAGCTGGAGGAGGAGGCAGGGGACCCAGTCCACAGGGGGCCTGTTGATTTGGACCTCCTCCGGTGAGGGGTGGCTTGATGTGACTTTTCCAACTATCTACCATGATGTGGAAACTACAGAGTGGGGAAAGGTAAAGGCTAGGCAAGGAAGCGGCTCTGGCTGGGTTCACTCCCAGAGAAAACCCAAGGGAGGCAGCAGTGCGATAAACCATGAACCACTCCTGAGACAGGAAATGTGAGAACGGAGGCTGCCCTGACTCAGCAGCCCCAGAACTCAAGTCTAGGGCTGTTGGAGCTGGAAAGGACAAGGGTATGGAGTGGCAGGAGACAATTCTCCATGGGTGACAAGGGAAGAATTGTTGGCCACAAGGGGCATCTAAGAAGAGGTGCCTGGAGTGCCAGGAAACACCACCACCAGCCACCATCCTCACCCAGACCTTGCAAAATCACCCAGGGCACCTGCTGGGCACACGAGTGCTCTGTGGCACTGAACTAGCTGTGCTGTGAGGATAGCAACCTTGTCTGGGATGTATTTATTTAGTGTTGTTTCTTAGAAGCCGCATGACCTTAGCAAGGTGAATTTGCCTGACTCACCTGTCAAGGGGGTCGGCACTGCCTCCTTTCCAACACCCCAGAAGAAAAAAGGAAAGCTAAGGATAAGACGGAAATACAGGCAGAAAATGTCTGACACATACTGGGACTCAACACCTGCCTGAGCATCCGCAGGAGCAGAGCAATGGCAAGGTCCACTGGTCCTCTAGAGCCGATGGACAGTGGCTACAAATACTAGGAAGGAAGCTGTACTGCTAACTCCACAGCACCACCGAGCCACCACACAGCAAGCGCCCAGACAGCCTTTCTCAGACACTTACCACACTCGTTGAATTTGTCCTTTAGCATCTTCCATGTAAAATCAAATGGGAGCTGAGGGGAAAAAACGGTAGACTAATGTACAACTCCACCGAGTCTTAATGCACAAACATCACAGCACTCTGCCCAGGAAACCCCCGGGGACAGGGACACAGCTCTTGTGGCACACTCGACTGGTGTGCATGAAGCCCTGGGGTAGATCTCCAGCACTGCGCACACACACAACCTATCACAGAGCAGCCGGTTGCCCCCTCATTGAGGAAAAATCGACCTCAAGCAGACACCTCTATCTGGAAGGGGCTCTGAAGCTCCATGTCTGGTCCCCTCTAGTGTGTTCACACGGGAAGCTGAGCACATGGGATGAGGGGCCAGGGCAGAAAAGCCCACAGACTCAGTAGAGACAGGGTCTCACTACGTGGTGAGACTGACCTGGAATTCACTGTGTAGCCCAGGCTGGTCTTGAACTCACAGCGATCCTCCTGCCTCAGCCTCCCCAGTGCTGGGATTACAGGCGTGAGCCACCACGCCAGGCTGCAAAGTGGCTAAGTTCTTACAGGTAACTCAGTTATAGGCACATTCTCTGAACCACCATGCCAAAACTTAAGATGCTCAAGCCAAAGGATGAGAAACCAAAGTCAGCTCAGCCTGCTGCTCGGTCTGCCACAGGGGAGAAGCCTGGGTCCTCACAGACCACTGCTCCTGCTCTGCCTTCAGCTTCCCTCATCCCCAGCAGTGGACTTGGGATGGAGCCAAGGTGTGCAATCCTCCCTGCTCCCCACCATTCAGTCCAACGACCTCCTCCCCTGTGCCTACCACAGCCAAACAGCTCAAGAGCCACTTACATTTCTCACAAATATCTGGCAGGCCTTCCTGGCCACCCCAGGAGCATGGCCTCCAGCTCCGCCAAAAGAACCTGCGAAGCTTCCTCCAAAGTTTCCACGTTCCATCTCGATGGCGCGATCAAAGCTGGCACCACCACTGCCACCCATGGCCAGGCCCATGCGCTCAATGCCAGCGCCCAGGGCCGGGCCCATGCGCTCCAGGCTGTTGGCTCCCATGCGCTCGAGGCCCATGCGCTCCAGGCTGTTGGCGCCCATGCGCTCCAGGCCCATCCGCTCCAGGTTGTTGGCGCCCATCCGCTCCAGGCCGGTGGCCATGCGATCCATCACAGGGCCCATGCGCTCGAGGCCGGCCCCCATGCCTGCGGGCACCATGCGCTCCATGCCCAGGCCCATGCGCTCGATGGCAGGGCCCATGCGCTCCACACCAGAGCCCATGCGCTCAATGGTTTGGCCCACACGGTCGATGGGTGCGGCCATGCGCTCGAGGCCAAAGCCCATGCCGGCCCCCATGCGCTCCACTCCAGAGCCGATCCGCTCCATGGTTTGGCCCATTCGCTCAATGCTGGAGGCCATGTGGTCGAGGCCCAGAGGGCCCATGCGCTCGATGCCAGAGCCCATGCGCTCAACAGAGCCCATGCGGTCCATGACCAGGCCCATGCGCTCGATCTCAGAGCCCACACGATCCATGCCATGGCCCAGGCCTGCGCCCATGCGCTCCATGCCGGCACCCCCAATGCGGTCAATGCCAGGGCCCATCCTCTCGATTCCAGGGACGCTGCCTCCACCTCCACCTGAAGAGGCACATAAAACATGGGAGAATGTCAGAACAGGTGTGTACACGCTAAGCCACACCTAGGCACTCATTCACAAGCTCAACCAGATACCAAAAGTTCAACCCCACACTAATTGATATTTCATTAAGACAACCCTTCATATGGTGACAAACGCTAACAAAATTCAAAACGGTGTTATAGTTTAGACCAAAAATGTCCCCCAAAGACTCGTGCAGAAGCAGAGCTTTTGGAAGGTGGCTAGATTTCGGGGCCAAGGCAGCTCTCTTGTCAGGAGGCAAGGCCTGGTTGCAAAAGATGGTCTCTTGGGGGCGTGACCTAGAAGGGGACACCGAGTTTGCTCCTTTACGTTTTCTGACCATTACGATATTAGCAGCTTTCTCCCACCCAGACCCTTCCACCATGCCCTTGGGACTTGAAACTAGGCAACTATGGACTGAAAACATGAGCCCAAATAAACCTGTCCTCTTTTAATTTGTGGCAGGCACTGTATCTCAGTGATGGGAAAGCGGCTCAGACACAGGGAGACAATTCAAAGTCACTCAACAAACTTTCCCCTCTCCTGACTTGTCCCTCTAGATGCCCTCTGGGTAGCCAGACTGACATAGGGAAGAGACTACACTGGCCTGTAATCAAGCAGAGATAAAAGAAATCAAATCCCAACACCAAAATAGATCAAGTATACGAAGGCACACAGCTGACATCCCCTGGGATCTTACTCCAGTGGGGACACTGCCAACTGACTTGTCTAGGTTTGCAGACCCAGGAAGGAAGATGCTAACAAGCTCCGCAGGTGACTCAGATGACCCAGGCGAGTCTGCAGTAACAATAATTGCCTTTGCCTGTGGTGCTTGCAACTCTGCACAGGGAGGATCTGGTTTTCTTTGAGTGGAGCCGGAAGCTCCTTCCAAGCGATAACCTCCCACCTGTGAATACAGGCATCACCCAGGCCACAGCCGGTCCACTACTGACCCAGGCAGCCAGGCCAAGATGCAAATTTAGGATGAAAAAGCTCAGCAGTTTCTACAGCTAAGGCTGTGACCTCGCACAAGGCACCCTCCCTCCACGTGCCCATTTCCTCAGCTCAACAGTGGCGTTATAGAAAATGGCCAATAAGTACAACTTTAAGAACGCTACTTTCAGAGCAGAAACGGCTCAGAAACTACCTAGCTGCTTCATAT